AATTAAAATAAAACAAAATGAAATAAATTAAAACGAAAAAATTATAGAATAATTTATAATTATAGAATAAATTATAGAAATAAAATAGGGAAAATTATATATTTTTAAATGTTTATTGGACAAATCCAAAAAAAATTAGTCTCTTCGACATTTTCACACTCAAAGATATTTAAATCAAATTAAATAAAAGGTGCAAAAATTATCTATTGAATTACAAACTGAACTTTTGACGATATCGTCTCCCATTCGTATTACGCAAATCGTTAGTACTCACTCAATCAGCTGTTTCTTCTAAATAACTGTCAAATTAAGAACAACTTTGCTGCCATTAAATATTTAAATATAAATATTATATTAAATTTTAGTATTTGTATCGTTTGCAACCTTTTTTTTAGTGAATACACTTTAAAAATGCGTCAAAACAAGCCCCGTTAAGTGGGACAAGCAAAAAACAAATGTCATAAAAAGAGTGGGAGGCTCACTCGCTCTATCCCCCACCTGACGCACAATTTAATTGGCCTTGTATGGTTGTATTTAAATGCAATTTCACAGAATAAACAAGAGGGGAAAAAAACGAGAAAATAACAAATAAAAACTGTTGATGGTAGAAAAATGAATAAAAAACAAAGTGAGGCGACAAAGGACTACTTTTTTATAAACTACGCAATAGAAAAAAGGTATCCTCGCAAACCCCTTATTGACTTAACAAGTGTAAAAGGCTCAATTATGCGCTAACAAAACATAATTAATTGCATGGAAAATGAACGGGAAAAATGAAATAAAAAGGAATTCAAGAAAACACCGCGAAGTAAAAAGTAAAATAGTAAATATAAGCGTGGCAAAAATAATAGCCAACAAGCCGTTAAAATAAATGGAAGTGGCAAATAATTAGCGCCACGTTGCCTAGCTAATTGGAAAAGTTCTTATCAGCAGACTGTGGCTGAATTGGCAACCGTATGGAAATACGAGTGATTAGAAAAATAAAGCGAAAAAACATCAAAGAAATTTTCGAAAATGATAATTAGGTCGGGACTGTGCAATTTGTGTGGAAAATTACGAAAAAGAATAAAAAATATATAAAATAATATGAAAACTAGTCAGAAATAAGCAGAGAAGGCGGGTGGATGTTTTTCATTAGTGGAATATTTCCAATAATAAACTTAACTTAAATTAAATAAATTGATTTAAAATAAATGAAAATAAAGTGGAATAATAATAAAATAAAATCGAATAAATTAGACACAAAATAGAAAAACTTAAAATTTCATAAAAATAAAATACAATGAAAATAGAACAAAAATAAACAAGTATTGAAATAAAAATAAATTCAATTTAAACAAAATAAAAATTTATAAAAATTTAATAAAAAAAAATAGAACTTAAACAAAACAAAAGATAAAAAGGAAAAAAGGAAATTGATTATAGTAAAATAATATAAAACGAAATAAATTAAAAATTAAATAGAAACAAGAATTAAAATTTGAATGAAATAAAACTAAATTAAAAAGAAAATTAAAATTAAATTGAAACAAATTTTGAAAATAAAATTAAATCAGAATGACTTAAACGTAAAACAAAATAAAATATAGTAAAATTTTAATTAAACATAAGTAAAAATTAAATTAAAAAGTAACAAAATAAAATGAAAAAATGCAAAAAAATTAAAAAAACAGTTGAAATGGAAAAAAAAATTAGAAAAAATTTTAATTTAATTGAAATACAACAAAATGAAAACAGAATAAAATAAAGTAAAAATAAAATTAAAAAAAAACTAAATACTAAATAAAAATATACAAATATTAAGCAATTAATATGAAATCAATAGAAAAAATTAAATTCAATAAAACACAAAAAAATAAAATAAAGTAATAAAATAAAAAGTGAATAGAAATAAAAAGTAAATAGAAATAAAAAGTAAATAGAAATAAAAAGTAAATAGAAATAAAAAGTAAATAGAAATAAGAAGAAAATTAGAATAAAATTATATTAAAATAAAATAAGACACAAAAAAAATTAAAAAAAAAAAATTATTAAAATAAAAAAAACACAAATAGCAAAAGAAATTAATAAATAAAAATAAAAATTAGAATAAAATAAAAAAAAATTAAACAAATTAAAAAAATTAGAATAAAACAAAATAAATATATTTTCAATTAAATACAACAAAATAATCAATTATAAAGTAGATTAAAATAAAATAATAAAAATACTAAAATAAATTAAGCAATAAGAAATTGAAAAAAGTAAAAATTAAACGTTTATGCAACAAATTATCAGACTCAATAAAATTTCAGTATAGTCCCTGTACTACAATACTTGCACGTTTGGCATAATAAAAAAAATCTAAAAATAAATTTCGCTTATGTTTTTGCGGAAATATTAAACTATTTACCTTAAAATAGTTGCGAGAGTTGAATAAACTTAGAAAAAATTAACACAAACAATAAAAAGGAAAATAACACAAAATTAAAAAAAAGAAAACAACAATAGAAATAATTAAAATAAAAAAATTGGTATCTAATCATACGAAATTATAATAGTAAAAGAATAATAACAGTAAAATAAAATTAGCAAATAAATATGACTATTTAGAAAGGAAAAATAGATATGTATGACGTATGTGGATGAATGCAAAAAAAAAAAAAAAAACAAATACAAATTAAGAGAGATTAAAAACGCTTATACTACTTACATACATACATTTGTACATATGTATGTATTTCCATATACAAGTACACAGCCGCATACATCTACAGCTAATGATTTATAAGTTTTAAGTAAATATTATTAATGCATATCTCTTAAACAAATTGACGCATTAAAACTTTTTTTTGCAAATTTGAAAATTTGCGTCATTTTACCAAATGTGACCATTGAATTTTATTTTAATTTTTTTAATAATAAGTGAATTTTTTGCAATTTAATTTTATTTCTATTTTTTTTTTCATGCTAATTTTAGCCGTTTTTAAGCATTGACAAAAGCGAATCCGCACACAATCATGTCAAGAAGTTGCTTATCAACTTTAAAATTTATTTAGAGTTTTTTTTTTAATTTTTACTCAATCACATGATAATCGATCAAATTATAAATACATATATATATATATATATATATATATTTTTTTTAACTAAATAAATAAGAGAAAGTGTACGTACTTATAAGCAATTAGCAAAGTATGCAGTAAATATATGTACGTATGGACTTAAGTGCAAATGCAGTGCTCCAGAAATATACATACACATGTATGTAAGCTTATAAATTGAAGTGAATATTTAATTGCACACGTAGGCAAAAAGAGCCAACACTTTATAGGTATAAAAAAAAGCAGACTCAAAATTCTATAAATATTGTATATAAATGCATATATGTACGTAAATACATATGTATGACGTATACATATATGTTTTTACCACCTATATGTCTACACATATAAATGAATATTTGTTTATTTTTAATTGCGCAAACAAGTACAACCTAAGTTGATATACTGTAAATTTCATTTAATTTTTATTACGAAAAATCTATGAAAAATTTAATAAAAAAAAAAAATTTACAAAAAATGAGAATGTTCAAAAAACAAAAAATATATAAAACAATAAAAAAAAAATAATAGAAATAAACGCGCTGTTATGTGCATTTTTACACACACATATTTAATTGAATGATTATCTACAACCCTGAGCCCTATGGCAATGGAATAAAACTAATGCGTTTTTTTTTCTTTTTTTTTTTTTGCAAAGGCCAAATCGAATTTAAATCAGCTTAATTAGGCGTTGAAAATAGGTTGCAAGTAAAGTGAAAAGATAATGACCAAATAAAAAAAATAAAATAAAAAAGTAAAAGATAAAGAAATAAATTAAATTATATATATATGTGTACTTATAAACATACATATATATTATAAAAAGCAAAAAAATATAAAAAAAAAATAAAAAAACTAAAAAAAAGATATTAACAAAAAAAAAGAACTAAAAAGCGCATAATAAAAATAAGTAAAAAAAAAGTAAAAAAAAAAATATAAAAAAATTATAGAGAATAAAAATTTAAAAAAGCAAAATATACATAAAATGCGGGCTTAATGCTAAAAGCAAATATATAATATCAACATTGACACTACACATAGTATATATGTACATATGTATGTATATAAACTTTGCTAATGAAATAGAAATGCAAAATATAGAGTGAAATGTAACGCATGGAATTTATCTTTTGCCTATGTACATAACACATATATACATATGTATGTATACACGCGATGGCATTATTTGCAGACAAAATAAACATTAGAAATCCAAATTGATAATAAGGAAACATGGAAAATTTTGAAATAAAATAAAAAAAGAAGAAAAAAAAATTTGTATAAGTACGAATGCAGAAAAATTTTATAATTTTTATTATATTTCACATTCAAAGTTGGGACTATTTAAACAAAAAAAACCATCTCTTTCACTTTTAGCCGAAAATCATGCAGCACACCACACCTTTCTGACTTAAATAAAATAATATTAATAAAACCGATAATAAAATCGTACAACTGCTCTTAAAATAAACAATTGAAGAAAAAACTAGTAATAAAAAGATAATAAAATGCGAAAATGCTATAAATAAACGAAGAGTGTAACAAAATTCGCTGAAACAACACTAAAAACGCTAACAATAAAAGGCAAAACGGCATAAATATACATATACTATATGTACGTCTAGAGAACAGGTTTCCATTTTCTGCAGACTTTTTTCGTTTTTTTTTTTGTACATATTTTTTTTTTTTTTTTTTTTGATTTTTTACTTCTTCAATGCAACCGATTTTTTATTGTCTTTGTTGTGTTGCCTTGTAAAAAATGAAAGTAAGTGCCGGAGACGAAACTGGGCCTGTGTTCGTATGCACTTTTAATGTTTATACATATTCACACATACTATACTACAACACATCTTACACATATATGCATATTATGTATATAGATAAATTAATATGTTAATTAATCTTTTCGGTACTCACCAATTAATCTTTCAAAAGTCATATAAAATAAGTAACTCCCCTCCTTGGGGTGCGCAAAATGATTCACACGAAAATCAGAAAGAGTATCTCTTCCAATGATATAAACCAAATTATTGGATACAAAGTTAAAACTCGATTAAGTTGATTTTTTTTTTCCAATTTTTGTTATTTAACACGTATTATGTACGGTATGCTATATCTCTGCCACCCACAACACGAAGATAATCCAAATTGTTTTTGTTGATTGATTGCGATTGTGATACAAACGAAAGCAAACAAACCAAAATAAAAGAAAAAATTCAAAAAAGAATTTTGCAAATTCGTATACTACGAATTATTTGTTGCTTTGTTTTTTGCTACTCTTTTGCTGTTTGATAATATTTACAATAAAGCAGGCTCAAACGTTTGGAAGAGTTGTTGCGTTGTGCAATATCTGGTTTTAGCAGTTAGTTGTTATAAAACTGGATTATTTCTCCACAAATATACACGTCGTTGTCGATGCTCCACAAAATTCGCTGTATCGCTACTCTCGCTTTAGTGTTATAAGGAGACACTCTCTGCCACGTGAAGAGTTGCGATCGCTCTAGTAAAAGACTGACAATCTGTTAAATTGATACTAAGCTTTTCAACTGCAAGTAAAGAAATATTTATTATTACAAATGAGTATGTGCATGTACAAATGTATTCAATACGTATTTTATGGCATATATATAGTTAAGTATATATGTATGTATGTACTATATAGCGCAAGTAGTGGTGTAAATCATACTTCTTTGTTGCGTATTTTTGCATTATAAATGATGAAAAAAAAATGTCTAAATTTTAGCAATAATAAGCAAACGAAGTGTAGAATATAAATTATGAACTTTGCACGTGTATTGTGAAATTGTATATTTGGGTGCAACCATGATGTTGTTGAATATTCTTTCAAAGCAGCCAGAATTCCATATTTGGATTTTGAACGATATTTCACAACATTTTTCGCAATTTATTGTAAAATAAATTATTTTCCTGACGTAACTCGCCAAATTTTAAACATTTTATATACAAATTAAGCGAAAATTTGCAAAAAAAAAAAAAATATATATATATTGCGAAAAGTTCACTCATCCATCGATATACATATATAAACATATATGTACGAATGTATCTATATATATGTATATAGCAATATAGTACGTATCAACGCACATGGGCAAATCCGCCACGGTGCAAAAAGATGGTGGACGACGTCTAACCGATTATCAGGCGGTGCTGGTGTTAGCGGTGGTGGCGGAGATTGGTTATTGGCAACAAAAACTGTAGTAATATTCAAAAGCAAGTTTTCTTTTCCAATTTTCTTATTTTTTTCTAAACACAAAAACCGAACTTCTGTCCTCCACAAAACATGCGTATATATTATTAAATCGTACTTTGTTAAAAATCCAGTAATCACTAATTTACCTGCTAATTTCTACTACAGAAATAGTGATATTTTTCGTATAAAATACTCGAAATTCCGCTCTGCGACTCAATTATGTATCTTCCACTTTTGCTGTTGCTGATATAATTTTTTGTCCTACTTCTTCAATCGTCTACCATGATATTCATTTTATTCAATCAGCTTGACAGCGCAGTGTTGCATGCGTGATAGTGCTTGCGGATATCGATAAAAGTAAACGATTTGTTTAATTTTATAAATGTTGGCGATAAGCTTCACAAAATATTTTTTTAATTGCAAACAATTCTAATTTTGGAAATTCTCTATAATAAAAATGTATATTTTCTTTGCAAACAACAAAACCAAACAAATGACGAAACCAATAATTTTGCCTTTGCAGAGGTGCTTTTAATACCGTTACACGATCTCTATTTTATTAATTGAATTCAGTCATTTAGTCTGCGCTTGAGAGGCTTACAAGGCAAGAAGCTATTTTTTAATTGGTATTTAAAAAGCGGGTCCAGAAACTACTATACGGCTGTAATGTAATGGTATTGGTTCGAGGTCATCTGAAATAGTATACTGATAAAACACTTAGTCTAGGAAAATTTGTGCACACTGGAAAGATTTGGATGATCGTTGCGATTTTCTTTTCTTTTTTCTTTTTGACAGATTTGTCTCGGGGCTTCGCTTGTCCCTTTCTATAGGTCTAATCGATTATCCGATCTCGGAAAGCACATTTATCTACAACGTCTAAACAGGCACGGTGGATTTAGTTGCCGGTACAGTACAGCTAGGTCTCATTTCTTAATATGGCTGACGGATATTTTTCTCAGGTGCCTCTCTGGCTATGCATTGAGTATTGTTGTATAGCCGGTCTTTACACGCCGAAGACATCACACGGGAGGACCATTTTTAACCAAAAGTACATAAGCTAAACGAGTTAGTGTCATAAGGGGGCATATTGTAACGATGTCTTCTCTTTTGTTAGGATAAAAGTAGCGTCGTCAGGGTAACTTCGTTACAATTAAAGCCCAGGAGGGAATACATTGGAATGTTTATTACTTGTTAAGCATAGAAGAGCGAAGTAGAGATAGTCAAGATGGCATATGTGTAGGTGTACTATCTTAACCAAGCTTAGCTGTTTAACTACGCAAAGTACTTGGCGTTTAAAGACCACAGAACACGGAAGACGAGAAGAGCCAATAAGGCCAGATGTAATGGTAAGAATATATATTCACATCTTTTAAAGAGAAGTTTGCAGTGAAAATGTGCACCTTCAAGTCAATTCGTTTTGGGATTAATTTTTTTAGGTTGTGGGCTTCAAGCTCTGCGCGAAACCTATAAGAGCTCGCATTCTCCCCTTAGTTCGCCTCCAAAAGGTTGGTTGTTGGCTATCCAGAAATTAAGTCTCGAGCTCATCGACACTTGCATTGGCTTGATCCCATGATGCTCTTAATCAAAATCTATGAATTCAAATTCAAATACAAACATATATAGAAATAATTTTTTTTTTTAATTTCAACATCTTTATGTATTTATTTACATTACTTCTCTCGCATTTAAATGCAAGCCGTTATTTACTGATTAAGCAAATATGATTATTATATAATTTATCTTATACGAGTATGTTTATGTATATGTATATATTATACTTTTTATTGTTTTTTCTCTATTATTTTAAACTATAACTGCACATAATTATTTATGTTTATAACTATGTTTTTACTTTTATTTTCTTAATACTAATACTAACACTAATAATGCTAGTCTTTGATTTTTTTACTTCTCCTACGTAACTTAAGTGATTTAAATAAAAATAATTTTATTAAGAGAAAACAGAAATACTTACGGCATTGTAATATACATAAATTAAATATTTAATTTCTTGTGTATTATAGTTATAATAATTAATTCAATTTAACAATAAAAAAAAAAGAAAAACTAAACAAACCTAAATTCAATCCATAAAACGGATTAATGCAATTATGTTTTGAACGATTTAAACAGTCAATTTTTTGTTGGAGTTGCCCTGTTAGCAGTAACTTAGTGTGAACGATTGTCAGATCAATTCGAATGTGTTGTAGTGACTTGCCGAGTATTGCGTACTTTTTCTAAAGTAATTTTTCTTAAATTATTTTTTTTTTTAAATCATATTTCTGAATATACATTTTTTTTTGGATTTTGAATTTTAACATACATAGCTATTGTTAGAAAATCTAAATTTTGTTTGCGTGACTTCATTTCTTTTGCTTCGTTCAGCACTCAGTCAATATGTACAAAATCATTTGAGAGTTCAGTTTTTTTGTTGGGTTTTTATAAGTACGATAATTTAAAAGCTTTTTGTAATAGACCGGAAGCCTTTAGCTTTAAGAGTTTTCTTTTTGTTTAAATTTTTATTTACTACATTTTTTATTTATTTACCATTGTTAACTATTTTTTATTTATATACATTTTTTATTATCTTATATTTTTTTTTACTTTTCTTATTTATTTAATAATTTATTCAATTATTAGTTTCAATTTTTTAATTGGTTTATTTTTTAATATTATATTTTTTTATAATTTTACATTTTATTTTTTATATATTATATTTTTTTTATACATTATATTTTTTATATATATTATATTTTTTTTATATATTATATTTTTTTATATATTATATTTTTTTTATATATTATATTTTTTATATATTAAATTTTATATATTTATATTTATAATTTTTATATTATATATTATTTTTTTTACATTATATATTTTACTTTTTATATTATTATATATTGAATTTTATGTCTTCTTTTTGGTATGAAACGATTTCTTAAATATTTTTGTTGTACATATTTCATTTTATACATTTTTTTTGTTTTCTGTATGAAACGAAATTTGATTTCTGATTTAATTTGGTTTAAATTGCCGAACGCAAATGATTTTTTTTAATACATATGTAGTATGTTGTTGCTTAGGTTACTAATTAGAGTTGACATTTGTGGTATTTTTTGTGTTTTTTTCTTACTGAAGAGTTATGTTTAAACTAAATTCATTATTTTAATGTTATACTAAAGTTATACAGTCAATTTTACGTGCTATAGTGTACCTTCTAGGTAACAATTGAAGTTGGATTTTTCATTTTTTTCATTTGTTAACGTTTTTTTTTCTAATTTTTTCTCGTTTGTGTATTATTTTTTAAATAATCAAACCTTTTTTTTGGATATATTAAGAAGAAATAGTGTTTTGGTAAGCTCCCTTTGCAGTTTGGGATGCGTTTTGAGTTTTACTAAATTTACATTTCAGTTCTTTTGTCATTTATTTTAATTTTTTAAACTTAATTATTTATTTCGCTAGTTTTAGTTTGCGGTTGACAGGGAGTTGTACATTTTCATATCGCTTTGAATTGATTGGAAAAGACAAAATTTTAACATTTTGCAAATAACATTAATGGGTATACATTTTCAGTACATACTATGTACTAATGTTATGTACTTATGTATATTTGCATGTATAGGGAATCGCTTATAAGACTAACCTAAAAATTCTGCAAAATACATATATGTATGCATATATATTACGCTTTCAATATGAAGCGAATATATTTGATAAATTGCAATAGAAAAAAATGTACAAACACAACATATTCTACAACTTATATCGAACAACAATAAACTGAAATTATTTAAATTATTTTAATTAACAACATACAAAATAGCTTAATCGTAGCAACTTCAGTCATAACAACAATATGCTTATATAGCCACGCAGGTCTCCCCAACTCAACGCATCACCCGTAACTTCTCTTTCTGCTCCTCCGGCACGTTCTCCTAACGGTTTTTATATAGCTCGTCCGTGTCAACTTCAAAATGTTTCGCCGCCCGCATACCACGGATGTATCCAGGGTGTAGACGGCGGCGGTGTTGGTGGATAGATTGTCGGTGAGGGCAGACCATGCGTGCCTGCCGCTGCCACCGCTGCGCTGGGAGGTTGCAAGTGGTAGGCGTTGGCCGCAACTGCAGCTGTTGGTGGTGAGAAGAGCGTTGACGCGTGTGCTGCTGCTAAAGCCGCTGATGATGCGGCAGCTGCTGCGCTCAGCTTATGCGCATTACCCGCCGCCGCTGCCGCTGCTGCTGTTGTTGACGACGATGTTGAGCTGGCTACCGATGCAGCTGAAGCGTTCGAAGAGCTACGATGTTCGCCAGCTGCTGCTGCTGCAGCTGCGGCGCTGAAGAGCGACATAAAATCATTAGCGGCTACCGTAGCTGCTGCCGCCGCTGCTGAGGATGACGGCGTTGCAGCGGTAGCGCTATTATGTTGTTGCTGCTGTTGTTGGCTCGTGCGACTATAGCGACTAGTATCGGTAGCACGTGTTTGCTTTTCCGCTCCGTTGCGCGCTTGCTTCTCCGCATGCGTATTCGCCACGGCGCTACCGCCGGCGCCCAGCCAATCGAAGGGATTAGCGAACGGATTGACAGCGGCTAGCGTGGAGGAGTTAGCGCTCAATGGTGGACTAAGCATGGTTGCGGCGGCGGCAGCTGCTGCTGCTGCGGAGCCACATAAAAAGTTATAAGCGGCTGCGCTCTCCGCAGCGGCTGCTGCAGCCAATTGTTGCGCGGCGGTACTTGCGGCCGCTGCGGCATGACGCGACGAGGAGCTGCTGCTGCCTCCTTTCGAAGACGAGGATGAGCCGCTGCTGGCAGTTTTTGTGCTTGAGCCATTGCCATGGCTGCTGGCGCTGCTGCTGCTTTGTTGATAATGCTGTTGCTGTTGTTGGTGCTGCTGTTGGGCGTGTTGGTTATGATAGTGCTGGAGTTGTTGTTGTTGTTGGCGGTTGTGGGAGTACAACATATCAAGCGAGTGCGGGTGTGTGTGTGTATGTGGTGGAGGTGGTGCTAGAGGCGCTGCTGCATGCGTGCTCAGCGGTGCATGCATAGCAGCGGCAGCGTCATTCTGTTGCTGTTGCTGATGCTGCTGCTGTTGTTGTTGGTGTATGTGTGCAACTGCCGCATTCGCGGACGCGGATGTTGCTGAAGATGACGATGAAGACTTGTGTTTCAATTGTTGTTGATGCTGCTGAAGCTGTTGTTGAGCTTGCTGCTGCTGATGTTGTTGTTGCAATTGTTGTTGTTGTTGTTGTTGTTGTATATGCTGTGCTCCCCAACCCATTTCCTAGCTTATGCGTGAACGCTTTGAATGCGGCTGATCTTGGTTTCGAGTCATAAACAATAACTGCTTCATGTACTTCATGACGTCACGAACTTGCACTAACGGTATATTCTCATTATGCGTACGATCGTTCTCCATTAGCACCTGAAGTTGACGTCTAAAAAAAGAAATAGAGATAATAATTATTAAGTATATTTTCATAGCTGACCTCGCAGTGGCACTCACCGATTGCCCTTGTACAGCTCCACGCCCAAGGTCTCGAAGAGCACCTTGCAGTTCTCAAGCGATTCATGTGGGAAGAAGTTCTTTTGGAAGTCGGTCAGCGTCATTAACTGATCGGAGTCATTGAATGCCTTCATATTGATGCACGGCACTAGACGATTGTCCACGTAGACCTTTTGCACCTTGTACGGTTGGTTGCCCATGTTGCTCGCTGCGCGTTCGTACTGCTGCAATTCCGGTATGATCGAAAGACGTTGCGCGCTATTCGCCGCTGCTGCTGCCATCGCGGCATGTCGTTGCAAGTGCATGCTTGCGGAATTCGAATTTGCCGATGAACTGCCAGACGAGCGGCCATTTTGTTGTGCATGGTGTTGGGCAGCGGCAGCCAGGCGTTGTTGTTGCTGCACTGCAGCGACCGCTGCTTGATGAGCCTCTTGTTGCTGTTGTAGGAATGCGGATGCCGCTTGTACCGACCTTCGGGGGGAAGATAAATCGATTACTTCCATTGGTGGCGTATTCTGATGGTGGTTTTGATTGTGGTGGTTGTGGTGGTTGTGGTGATGGTGGGAGGAGGAGGACGAGGAGTGGTGGTGATGGTGGCTATTATAGTGTTGACCGGCATAGTGACTGCCACCTTTGCCCGGCCCACCAGACGCCGCCCCGTGCGAACGCGTGGGTGATGGTGAAGGCGTTGAAGTGGAATTGGACGTAGAAGGTGAAGGCGGCACATTCAATGCCGCCGCGCTCGTAGAACAAATAACGCTCTTCTGACGCCCACTACTACTACCCGTTGCCGAAGACGAATGCGGTGAATGTACAAATTGCGCGGCAGGTATGTGTGGCGTTATGGTTACATTCGGATTGGGCACAATGGATAGCGACGGCGCTGGCGAAATGGGGGGCGACATAAAAGGCACAAAATTTTGCGACGAATTCGTCTGTATGAATGTGGACAAGTCGGGATTGGAGAGCACTTTCTGAACCACCGCTTTCATCTCATCAGTCATTTTGAACTTCTTTTCAAAATCCTCCAGAGACGCTGTTGAATTCAGCGGCACAGTAGTTGCGCCTGAAGAAGAAGAAGATGAGGTCGCATGCCGCATTGAATTGCTTGCACTACGCTTGCCACTCGGCATATCTGCAGCGCCCGCAGCACCCGCCACTGGTATTAACGGCGGCACTGTCGGTTTCGTAAACTGACCATTCGACGTACTACTCTTGCCGCTATGCTTATGCGGATTATAATCCAACATAGTTTTTAGATCTGTATCCAACGGTAACGAAGGAAATATTGGAAAGGGGGGTTTTGTTATATTAATACCGCTACTGCTGCTACTAATGGACCGCTCAACGGGACCAGCAGCTGTGGATGCCGCCACATTGGCAGTACTTTTGATTTGCTGTGTAAGCAGCAGACGCTGTGTAGGCGTCAACTGATTCCAAAACGCCAAATCGGCGGCAGTGGAGGGTAAATTGAAATTATATAGATTGGCAGAATTGGGGGACGCGGCCGCTGTGGCGGCGTGTATGTGGGAGAGGGGATGGTTTGGACTGGGCATATGTGTGACAGGCGGAGCATGCGGAGAATTGGGGGTTGAGGAGGAGGAGGAGGCAGTGGTGTGTCGTTGTTGCTGTTGTGTTTGTTGTTGCAGCATAGTTTGCTCGACATTTGACCTAGAAACATTATATATAGAATATTTTTGTAAGTTTTTACGTCGTACGCTTATGCGTTGTGCATTTTTTTCTTTATTTTTTTTTCCTTTTTTCTTTTCAATGAATTTTTATTTATTTACAAAATTGTATATTTTCAAATTTAATTGCAACTCAGTTAAGTTTTCTGTTTAACGCGATCGTTTTGTTTTAACTTTATTTTTGAATATGCTTACTGATGATTTGTTCTTATTTTTCATTTATCTTTATGTGCTATTTTCTTTTGCTTTTATTCTTTAATTTTTACAAACATACAAGAATTTCAAAATTTCGTAAATTTATAATTTTTAACTTTTTTAGTACTTTCTTAAATGCAACAGTGAATGTGTATTTTTGTATTGTATTTAGCATCGTTGTTTTTGTACACGCATTATTATTATATATAATGTATCTAGGGTAAAAAATATCTTTGAAACATTATTGGTATTTTGTTAGTTTCAATAACGAAAAGAGCCAGGGTGGTTGTGGTGGGGGTGAAAGAGCAAGAGTGAGCTAAGATTCTGTGAGCCATTGAAATTGGGTGGGACTTAGACTGGGGAATGAATTGGTTGTTTACAATTGCAATTGGCAGTAGAAATATTTTTGATGATACAGGGTGGTGGTCCTGTTTAATTAAACATTTGTTTTTCAAAATTTATGTTTTTCAAATATTGTAGTTCCTTTTAATTGTAATTACTTTTTACTAAACAGCAAGTATATATGTATATGTATGTAAAACGATAATTTAACAAAAAAAAAAATTATAATTGCATTACAACAAATATGCTACAAAACAATTTCACTACATTACAAATACGAATTTTAATGAAAGCATTTAAACGTTATTTAGCAAAAACAAGTTTTCTTTTAGATTTTAATTTATATTACATATTTTTTGCTTTTAAGATGAAAATGGCCATACTGTGTGCATATAGAGAAATGAATAGCGGAGAAATTAACTCATGCAAAAGAGTTTCTGCTGGTGAAAATTCTTTATTTTTCATAAGTGTTACAGACACAGCGAAAAAAGGAAAGTTTAAAGGTTTACACGTGTCACTAACATCTCCTATACTAAATTCTATTTTGAGCAATGTTTCACGCACAACAACGAAAAATAGTTAGCTTTGAGCTAAAGTCGCTATAAATCACAATTCCAAGTGAAACAACTTTATTAAAATTGAAATTATTCGAAAACCAGCTAAACAACATATTTTTTCTATACAATAACTTGACAAAATATGAAAATAACGTTTACTTCCCTTCCGCTATAGACAGCGGCCAGCTCACCGAAACTTGGCAGCACAGCACTTTTTCTTACTTCCCTACAGTCGTTGACTTTTGACAGCTACATGAAAGCTAACAAATTATTAAATGCAAGAGCTTGCCGTGAAAAATATATTTAAATAACGGAAATTCGTCTGAAATCACAATTATATGTAACAAATATTATACAAAGCATTTTATAAAAGCAAAGTTAAGTGTCATACCCACGCAACGGAAATTATTGATACGTTATAGTGACCGCTTCAATGTCACGTGAGGTCTTAATTTTTTATTCAAAGAAAATGCTGTGCGAAAATTCTAAGTTAAAGTAACTGATATTTTCTAAAAGTAAGCAATTAAAGGAATTGAAGCACATATTTGAAAACTAAAACTATATTAAAAACATTCAAAAGTACAAACACATTTAATATTTAACCTGCATACTTCTCAAAACTTGTTTTCAACAAAACTCTAAAAAGAAATGTGCCTAATTTTCATTTGATCAACAACAATAAGAAACCCAATAATATTTATATATGTAAATACATATGAGAGAGAGGAGGGGGAGAAAACGAATTTCGATTTGTGAGAAAAAAGTAGTACTAAATAAAATGCGTGCACAACCACCAATTTTTTTTTTTTTTTTTGTAATAAAACAATTCCAAGTATGTATTCAAAAATTTAAAACAATCTTAAAAAGGAAATTTGTTTGTGTAGAAAAAAGCAAAAACATACACAATTTTGTTTTCTGGTGCATACTTTGCAATATATGTTTAGCAATTGGCAAAAAGGAAACATAGTAAGTACGTGTATGCACCAATAGAACTTAAATTTCGTTTTCTGTTCTGTTTTTGTTTTAATTTAGGTATAAAAGTAATCAATCATTAAACGAATTACAACTAAATTTGAAAAACACATTTTTGTAAACAAATTTTTTCTTGTTAAAAACAGATAAACTTTTAGTCAAAACTCATTCAGGTATTGAAAAATATTAATATTTTTTTTTTTTTTTTTTTTTTTTTTTTTTTTTTTTTTTTTTTGTAAAAACAAAGTATGAATGATTTTTTTTCGAATTGAGTGTAAAAAAAAAAGTTTAAAAGTTTTTCTACTCGTTAATTTTTTTTTCGATTTTTTAAATGCTCTAAAAACATCTATTCATACTCACATATGGTTGGCGCTTTGTCCAGCGCCTGAACGCACCAATGGTGGCGGTGCATTCGCTTGATTATGACTATTCACCGGTTGCATGGAAATCGCTTGATTATTATAAGCAGCATAGGCCGGTCGATTGCCAAGCAGGATATTCTCCATTGGGCTGCGTTGATATTGTGCGGCGCGTGAATTGGGATGTGACTGTTGTGCCTGAAAGTATGCAATTGTTTTTTTTTTTTTTTAATAAAAAAAAATGTTTAAACGTTTAAATATTGTTTTTTTTTATTTATGAAGCTGCTTTTTAGAAAAAGGCTGAAATGTGATTTTAATAGCGCCATTAACCTAACCAATAAATTCTTGCTTTCACTTTCAAAATCCTGCGAAATTTAAACCATTTGCGTAATATTTTATTTTTTTATTTATTTAATTCATAAACTAAAAAAAAAAAAAAATCATACAAAAATTTAGTGTTTACAATTATAAATAAGCAGCTTAAACAAAAGAAAGATGATATAAATAATTAAAGTACAAAAACAACGAAAGAAATATTTCTCATTCAGAGTAACAAAAATAGCTGCATAATAATTATAATATATTCACTCAGAAACACATGTGTGTGTATAAAATTTGTGAGTGTTAGATGTTTTTTTTTTTTTGCTTTTTTTTTGGAAATAAATTCGTATCAATTGTGGTTTTGTTTTGTGATAAGCTTCGTCGTCTCGTTGGATAATTATGTGGTTTGAAATAATTTTATTAACACATTTTATGAATCTCTGTATGCAAACATTTACATACATATATATTATATGTGTGTATATAGAAGCGAACAAGTGCTAGTGCTAAAATTGTTGTTTTGAATTGCGCGTATTTTTCCATAATTTTGTTTTCAGTAACTACACGCTGGTTCTTGTGTGTGTGTGTGGTTACGCTGTATTTTATTTATCAAGTTTTCTTTTTTGGTACTCTTCAAAAATTAGACTATATAATAGCTAATATGTATATAAATTTGTGAATTAATGTGCACGTATGTACATATGTATGTATCCAATTGGGATAAATAGTGCCAGGTTTAAGCGTATCGTTTTTTAGCTTGATAATTATGTCGATTATTATATGAATGTGTGTGGTGTGTATTGTAAAAATGTTGTTGTGCATAATGGTCTATGTATCGAGGCTGTTTATATTTAGCCCCTACAACGGACTCTACTAAAGTACCAATACGATTTTGTCCCAGTCGCCTGCGACATTTATTCATTTGTCTCCAATTACATTCTCCTTTATGCTATAAATATTCAACAGAAACACATGCAGAGTATAGAAACGGTTGAAAATTAAAACGTGAATGCAAAGAGGTATAAATGAAAGTATATGCACATACATCATATGCATAGATAGGAAAAATTTATTAAAAAATATTTTTTTTTTTTATAAAAGTAATGCATATATGCATACATACATATGTATATTTGTATGTGCCTAAATTTCTATATAATCGGATTTTAAAACACCGCATGGCAAACAATATTTTCTATGATTTTTACAGCAACTTGTGGCAACAGCGAATAAAAGGAATAAATAAATAAATAACAAAGAGTAAAAAAAAAAGAACGACATGGCAAAAAAAAGAACCGAAAGTAGGTCAGCTATAGACAGGCAGTCGGGCATACAGACCAGCAAGTAGCAGAGCACTAGCATCAGAACTAAAGCGAGCTTAAAGTTTTTCCCACTGACTTTATTATGCGCTCTTACTGTGCAAGCATACTGAACTGTTATCCGACATGGAGTCGGCGGAATGGCTGGGAAAGTGTAGTCTAATAAAACAAATACGGCTTACGGCAAATATTTATGTACATACATATGTATGTTCGTAGTTGTGTAAATTGAAGGGAGCAAGTGCTCCCATATATATGTACATGCCTAGCCAATACTGCTACATAAAGCAATAGGTGGCTGGAAAATTAAATGCGGAAACTCAAAATTAATTGAATTAATTACTTAAAAAATAGCAGCTAAAATATAAATAAATAAATAAACAACTCGGTGATACAATACAGTGGCGTAAAAGATGTATTGCAACATTTTTCTTTCATGACCTGCTAATTTGTTTACAAAACTATAAACTCTTCAGAAACAAAAAAATTCGATTAAAATCATAATTCCAATTTTTTTTTTAGATTTTTGAAGCACAAAAAAAAATATGATCTCACCTGTGAAGCCATCATTTGAGCGTGTATTAGCGGCTGTTGTTGAATCCAGCTATTCGTTAAAGCCTATACATCGGATAATAAAATAATTTTGACAAGAATCATTCAAAATACCACACCACGTCACATGAAAGAGAAGAGAAAATACGAAAAATTCGTTTGATTAGCTTTTTTTTTTTTTGCACTGTTTCTTGTTATTGTATCGCACCTGCACTGTTGCCAATGTGGAATTTGACGGATGCATCCGTTGCCCGGCCTGTTGTTGTTGCTGTTGCATAGCTGCTGCTGCAGCCGCCGCCGCTGCTGCTGCTGATGTTTGTTGCGCGTACGCATTGGCGCCACGTTTTAACATTTGTTGTTGCTGTGCGGCAACAGCTGCAGCTGCGGTTTGTTTTTGCATTAAACTTGATTGAGACATCACTTTTGGCGGTGGTTGTGTTGGCTGCCGTGTCCAGTTGACAGAATTATTTGCATTGCTGCGATTGCCAATTAAGAGATTTGAGTCAACCACTTTGCTGGGCCAATAATCTTCGAACTCCGTGCCGTTGGGAAAATAGCTTTTGATATCCGTCAATGAGATGACGGCAACATTTTCGCTGGAGAACAATTCATTGCGAATACCCTGCACTTTACAGCAAAATTTCAAATATGCCAAATCCCAGCCGGAAAGGTAATCGGCTTTCTGTTTGAGATTCTCCGTTTCACCTTCGAAGTAGAATAATGGCACTACCTGCTCATTGTTGCGCACCGTATATGGCACAACGGACTCTTTATTGATGCGTATGAAACCGCATTTCTCCGAGGGCGACTTGCTACCCGAAATGAGCTTGCGATAGCAGATGTCTAGGAACTGGTAGAATTTGGTTGCGTCCGATAGACGCACAACCAAATCTTTTTGGGTGAACATATCGCGTCCAAATTCACCATCACAGTGTTTGATATTGATTTCGATTAAAAGTCTCGATTCTGCCTCCGTTATATAATAGCTACGCACACATGTACAACTCGAGTATATATCCGGATGCAAGCAGTTGAGGTATTTCCCCAATAACTTCATTTCAATCATGCGTACCGAACAATATTTCTCTTGTTGCCGGAAAATATACGGAATGTATGTTTTGCCAAATGTTGTCCAACCGAAATGTCCCTTCTGTGACTCTTCATCGCAAGGAGGTTTCTTATCACTGCTGGCATCAGTGGCACCGCTACTACTACTGCTCGCATTGCCGTTTTGTTGCGTACCATTACGACCACTAGCACCACTACCACCACCATTGGTGGCGGCGCCCGCATTTGTGCCGTTTGGTAGTTTTTGTTGTCGCGTCAAATAATTCAATATATTCGCTTGTCCGTTGTTCTGATTGTTATTCATAGCTTGCATACCACCCACTTGTTGTTGCTGGCGGGTGGCAAGCTGTGCAGCCTGTTGCTGTTGTTTTGCCAAAGCGGCTTTTTGTGTTTCCATCATCTTTTCGGCTAGCATTTGTATCTCAGCCTCATCGGCACGTTCCTGCTTTACTGGTGCGCTCCAATTCGAACCGATGCTGTTGCCATGTATAGGCAGCGGTTGGCCATTGGCGCCAATCACACTGACTATTTGTATATCCGCAGACATTGTGTTGTGTTTTGTTGCTTTCACCAATATTTGTTGTAGTTAATTTTATTGATGAGTATTTAATATTTACTATTACGAAATTATGTACACGTTCTTCTCTTTATTATTTTTCAACTGTCAAATTATTATTTTTTCGGTGTTTGACACTAACAGTATTGCCGGGTTTGACAAGCACAGAAGCTGTTAAATACGCAGGGTTTATGGAAGTTGTGCGTAAAAATCAAATTAATTTTTTTTTTTAAATTTATTTTTGGAAATCATTCAAATTAGCACTGCTAATAGATCTTCTCTTTATTTATTTCTGTGCTTGAATTTTTCGTATTTTTTTTCTTTTTGCCGCTTAGAGGGAATTGCACTTGCTTAAGGGTATTCACAAATCAATTATTATTGTAGACATATGCATATATGCGAAACGTATACATATATTTTGAGCGTTAACTTTATTTCGTATTCCTCTCGCGTTTTTCATTTGTGGATTTAACAAACTTTCTCCGCTAATTTCTTTTTGTTATTGTATGTTGGTTCTGTTGCTTTACTTTTTTTACTTATTGTTTTTGTAATTGTACAATACTTTCTTTTCTTTTTGCTTATGCCTCTGATTATTAGCACTACAATGTTGTCGCATCCGCACTACGCACATGCAAACACACACAGTGCTATGACAGCTGCCAAACGTTGGCGGCAGCGGCGCGACGTCAAATTCGGTTGGACGGGACGTCCATCCACACAGCGGCTGCAACGGCTTATTTACATATGTGGCGTGACGTATAGTAATTTTTTATCAACGTTTCGATTGTTTTATATGATTTTTTTCTCAAATTACCTTTTACGGTATTAATTTACCCAGTATTATTATACTTCCACAATTTTTTTCTCACTAGTATTTCGTTTTGTTTCTTGCTCACGTATAGGGGCCTTCTCAATAGAAATTTCACATTACCACATTTACACGTTTATACATATGTACATATGTATTTATGCTCACACTTCTCTCCATGCTGCAATTTCTGCGGCTCTGTTTTTATTTATTAATATATATTTCCATATTTATTTTTATTAACAGTATTTATTATATTTTTTATCAACACTCTTTGCAAATACATACTACATATGAAATGATTTTCTTTCAAATTTACTATGTATGAATGTATGTATTTTTGTACGCGAAAATTCAAGCGTCGCGGCCTTCGCTACGTCTTCACGTCTTCACAATACATAAACGAGTGTGATCGTCGTAACGAAAATTATTTCTACGAACTGAAGTTGAAGCCCCCAATATACACAAAACGCACACACAAACGTGTTCGTGCATGAAATACACACCACCACCACCGCCAGCGCCGTAACCAATTGACGTCGACGTCCACGAAAGCGTCGCCGTCGTCATCAACCAGGCAGGCAAACAAGCAGGCCAGACAATCAAATAGCAACAACAACAGCAACAATTTCAAAGTAGGAATACTCAAGTGATGACGATGCAACGGCAGCAGCGAAAAACAGCAAAAACAACAACATACAATAACAGCAGCAGCCACCGCCGTCGCCGTAGTAGCAGTGTGCACGACGAAGCATTCGAAACAAACGAACATACGAACAAGCAAGCAATACAAAACAAATATGGCAGGCAAAGAAACGGCAATGCGAGCGAATGACTTCGACAGGCCCCGTTTCAGCAATTCGGTTTGTTGAAAATTCGTTAGCTTGCTCTTATACGTACATATATGTATGTACATATCTATGGCGCACGCTGTGTCGGCTACAATATAATGTGGCCCCATATGTTTGTTTTCTTGGGTGTGTGTGCTGGTCTGCTGCCTCGTCTGATAGCGCCGAAGCACCGCAACTAACGAACGTGCGAACAAATAATGAACGAACGACAGACGGTATTGAAGCGGGCAGCGGCGGTGACAGTAGCAGTGACTGACTGACTAACAAGTACACACATACATAAGTATACATAAATATGTGAGTACATGTGTAGGTATGTATATACGAATTTCGTTTTGGGAGACATACAGACATACAATCATACATATACAGATATACGCAGGCGGGCATATCACATTCACTCGTTCTCTTGCTCACTCGCTCGCACGCAAAAAAAAAAATAAAAAAACAGCAACTACAACAATGTGAAAAGATACGAGCTGCTCGTTTGCAATAACAACAAAAGAAATCAGCTTTAAGCACAACAATAACAACAAGGCAAAAGCAAATTGGTGGAATATTTGTGTTTTCTTCTTCTTCTTTGGTTGGTTTCTGGCTTTGCCTGCTACTTTATCTACATACATAGTCGTGTGTATTGTTTTTGGAATGTTTATTTTTTTTGCTATTTTTTGCTATTTTTTATGGTTTTCGCTCTGTTGTTGTTCTCTCCATCTTCTATTTATTTGCGCTGCCACAGTTGACGTTAGCAGTTGTTTTGCTTTGGTTGTTGTTGTTGTTGGTATTATATACATATATTTTGGTATGGAAGGATACATAAACATACATATGTACATACATACATACATAAACACATACATAAATACATACTATGTACGCATGTTCGGATGTATGACTTTTCTTTAACTTATCGGCAAGGCGAGGTCGTACGACAGGCATTAAAACGAAGAGCTCGGACAGTCAAGGGAAAGAGAGCTGAGCCGACGGTAGATGGTGCGGTACACATATTGGTTTTGTATTTCATTTAAATTTATATTCGATTCTTTTTGTTTTACTTTTAGAATTTTATAAGACTTTCGCGTATATTTTGATTAGCTTTCGAAGCCGCGGCGAGTGGAGTACAATAAAGTGTAAAAAGCGTAGACCTTACTTTAAATGGGCGCAGCGAGATGCTACTTGCCTTTGGAAGGACAAGATATAAGCATGAAAGGATGAGAGATAAAGAGAGTAATACATACAGTTGCATACAACTAATTAACAACGACTTGTCCGTCCCTATACATTATATGACCGTTTCCGTAAAAATCTCTTCTATTCAAGTATGATCAGATTTAGCTGTCAAAAAATGTTCTAGAAATTCGGTTATTTTAAAACAGTTAACGTAAAAAAAAATGGGTAAGAGCAAGTCTTGGGATGAGGACACTAGGGCTGTTATCGTACAGATCCACAAAGATGGGACATCGTACAGAGATATTGCAAAGGCCCTGAATATTTCCAAAATTATGGCTTTAAATACTGTTAAGTATTTTATTAAGAATAAAATAACAAAAAAAAAAAGTTCCAAGAAAGAAGAGAGGGCGGATAGCGACTTTTCTGGAGGACGAGTTGATTATCCGCGAGTCAAAAAAGGATCCCCACAAGATGTTTTCTGATAAAACTAAGATAAATACGGTTTCTTCAGATGGGGAAACTTATGTCCGCAGGCCTCGATGTAAAGAATTGGGCCCGAAGTACACCAATCCAACTTTAAAACATGTTGTCGGCGGTGTAATGATTTGGGGTGGCATGTTATGACGAGTGATTGGGCCTATTTACAAAATCGATGGGCCCTTGGACCAGTTTAAGTACATATCTATCATGGGTAACATAACATTACCATAAGCTGATGGCAATATGCCAGTGACGTGGATTTATCAGCAGGATAACTATAAACGTCTGAAATGGAACTAAGATCGCTGTCCCCGTCAGGACACGGTCGGAAAAAAATATAAACCAGATAGTCTGTTGACAAGGATTTTCAACTCCATTGAATTTATGTAATTATACCATTTGTGTACATATGTATGTACATATCAAAGGAAAAAATCAAAGATGACCAAGCAAAAGACGACCGTTCGATGGTGGGTAAGAATAAGCAGTAGATCCCTTCGGTAATTGGAAAGAACCAGGACGCATGTGACAAAATTAGAGGAGGAACTCGGTCGAAAATCGTTTTAGCGGTTATAGAGCGTCAAATTTAATATATATGTATGTATAGATAGAGATGTATATATATATATGCATTTGTCTATATGTACGTATACATACATACGTGTATGTAAGTACCTTTATCAGTTCGAATGATCATCACGTAGCATTTCGTGAGGCGTGCAAAATTCCCATATTTTTACATTTCAATTTAAGCTTTAAAGTGAAAAAAATTTACGGCAATCGAAACGCGAATGAGCCCACAAGCAGATACATATATATTATACATACATACATATGTACGTACCTACATACATACATATATGAGAAGTGAATTAAACTCTGCCTGTTTCAAACGGTATTTATTGCATACATGTGTACATACATATAAATATTCATAAAAATATAGGTGCTTGCTGGTTATATAATTAGCAAGCGCAAATATATACATACATATGTACATGTGTACATAGTACATATACTTAGATATTCGATAATTTATGTATATTCACAGGCATATGTACATACATACATATTTGCATATATAAATATTAATTAATCGAAAGTAATGTATGTACATATGTCGGTATATATATATTTCTATAGGTACGTATGTAAATATGTACGAATGTATGTATTTATTTAAATAGCCCAAGGTGCCAACCCAACCCACTTTCTCTATATAATGTACATATGCATGTACTTTGTATGTATGTATGTATGTTATTAAAATAGTTGCATTTGTTGTTGTTGTTGTTGTTTCAACAAAAGTAGATAAAACAAAATGGCCAAAAATGAATACGAAAATCTGAGTACCTACTTGTTATATGTATGTATGTACATACAAAAATATGTACATATGTATGTACACGGGAACCAGTTAAACGTGTCTCGCTGTGTTTAGATACGTACATATTTGTTTGTTGATACATACAATTGTTAGCAAAAAATTAGGAGTGACCAAACAAAAAAAAAACAAACAAATCTTTTAACTTCCATTAACAATGTTTTTTTTTAAGATTTTACACAACGTAATTTACTAATGATTTATTTATATTTCCACAGTTCATATATTTCAATTACACGTTAACAAAATTGTATATCGCAATTTGAGTCGAATAAACTAAAAAAAAATACTTCCACATAAAAAAGGCTTCACGGTTTTAATATTTCGTTGAATAACCTCAGTTTTAGCGTCTTTAGCTTGTTGATATAACCATATCATTGGCATACTCCATGAGGCATATGGTAACATAACCTCATTTAATATCTTCACATTTACTCTTTGATTCGTGAACGCCACTATGTGAAAAGCTGCGTCGTGTTTAACGGTTTTTGTTGTAAACCGAAGGTTATTTTCCGAGTTAGGGGGACGCCGGGCAAATTTTCTAGAACCTGTATCAACAAATAACTCAATTTTGGATGCGTCTGACCACAATATGTTCCACCATTTAGCCACGGGCCAGAGGATCTACTCATTTTCATATTGTATAGGGGCTCTCATGTGTTTCTTTTTGATTTGGTTTACTTTTCGTGGACTGCTGGAGAATAATTTGTACGGCGTCAAACGCAACAGAAGCAATTTTAATAACAGCCAACGAACGGTAATTAATATTTACATTTTTAAATAGCCAGCCGGTGGAATTGCTTCTTTATTTTTTCGACTCAAGCGCTAGTAAGCTTTATTTACATACTTACACACATTTGTATATATGTGTGTGTATGTACATGTGTTAAACGGTTTAATGTTATTTATTTGCTATTGTTTTAATACAAGTATTACACATACAAACAAAACATTGATAATTCGCAAATGTAAAGCAAACATGTTTTACACCTAATTACGCATAAATATACATACATACAGATATACATTATTAAGTACATATATATCTATGATATATATATATATATATATATATATATATGTAGTTATTGTATGTGTGTTTAAAATAAATTCGTTCTTTTAGAGACGTTGAAGTAAATACTTACATACATATGTACATATGTATATATTAGCACAAAAGCAGACATATATGTACATATATATATATACTTATTTACATACAAAATTACCAGCCATAGCCAATCTCCTTTGTATGTAAATACAAAAAAATGTGTCTTCTTCCCACCCCGACACCGCATCATTGCAGTAGCAGCAGCAGCTGCTGTGTCTGCCACATTTCAAAATTCCACTTGTGCTCGTGTCGCGCGACTCTTACCAATATAGACACTTGGTTCTTCGTTTACTGCTAGCTGACCACCAGCCCAGTCATATACATATACGTACCAGCCAGACAGGCAGCCACCCACTCGCCCATTATATGTAACTCGTGCACCTTACCAAGGAACATCGACATGCCAGCAGTGCTCTTGGGTACATCTAAATATATATATATAAAGACATATACTTTTGTTGTAGATGTATGTAGTTAAATATATCTACTCGTATAAATATATACATATATACCACCAGCTGGTTGCCCATCAAACGAGTCAAGCACGCCACCACCGGCACCGGCATACTGTCAGCCGAGGCTGTTCTCGTTGTAGTCTCGTGAGATTTTTATGGGCAGACAGTCATCATCGGCGCGTCTCGTAGCTGCACTCTGTTAACATGTTTTGTATGTACATACATGTGTAAATGTGCTTTGGTTTGCTTTTCTTTTTTTGTATGTTTTACTACCTTTCCTCTTGCTGTCGCTGTTTCTGCTTCTGCTTTGCCACCTCCACATTTCCTGCTAGTTTACCAACCGTTTTTTCA